ATTAGTCAATTAATGTTAGCTGGTCATTTTGTGTCAGGATAAAAAAAAACAGTGAAATTTGTTTTTTTTTGTGAAAAGTAATTTTTTTGGCCAATGAAGCTTTTAGCAATTATTTAAAATGCATCTGATCACTCTACACAATAATCTAGAAACAATGTGAATGAACACCACAACAATTTAAGCAGCAAACTTGTCACTGCCAAAACTTTTGGCCATAGCCATTTGCTGGTCTGTGTAACGCTGAGGAACAAAACACCACCGTGTTGCTCAGGGACACAGTGGTTCTGTTGTTTGTTCTATGTTCTTTCTGACGGAGCAAAACAGAATTTCGTGTCTGAAAGTTCAGTAAGTTGTAGTTTACTGTACATTTGCGATGGTGCAGATATTTGGAAAAAACATGACTCTTGTTTGTGTGATAGGCTAAGTCCTATCATATGCATTTGTTATAAAAACAGAAACTCATTAAATGGCTATTTTTATTTATTTATTTAAAAAAAAAAATATTTTGATGACATTTCTGCCCCACGTGTGATGGCAGTGAGACGGGAGACAGCGCTCAACTCTTCCGATCGCATAATTTAGTGGAATATTAATATAATATAGAATCATCATCTGTAATGAAATGAGGCGTGAACATTTCACAAATTTATCATTATCTTTCTATATGTGCACTCTTTTAGGCTAAGGCTTAATGGAGCTGTTCAAAGTAGCCATGTGATAAACTAATCGGCGCAGACGCGACCAATACCTTCTTCTATGTGAAATAATAATAAATACCAGTTTATGCTGTTTGATTATGGCCTCGGAGGTAGGAGGTCCCTGCGTGCGCAGTGGAAATGTGGCTAATAATTTCTGACTGGCATATACCTGAACAAATCAAATAAACGGGCAAAGGCGGGGCCCATGGACTGCAGCCCAGTCAAGCCCAATGGTAAGTCCGGCCATGGCTACCGTAATAAAGAACACACAAAGCCCCTATATATTTATTTAAAGGTTCTCTTAACTCTCTCTTAGTTTAGTTGGGGAAAGCATTAATAAAAACAACATTAAAATACAGTGTATTTCCTGAAGATAACGTGGTTCTCAACCTCTTTGCCCCCAAGGCCCCCCTTTAAGGAAATATTGCAGGGTCCCCACACAAGACTTTTTGACCTCAGTAAAGCATAAAAGTGATTCAAAGTGATTTTGCCATTGCAGTAATGTCCCATTCATAGCCAACATATGAGAGTTGTGTCAAAAGTCATTTTTATTGATATTGTGTTTTATACAGTACAGATCTCTTCAAAGCAGCTCCACAGTCATGGACAGGAAAATAACAGAATCGATGATGCAAAAAAATCAAATTCTGTGGTAAGGTAGCTGTAAAGTCTACATATATACAAGCTAACAGAGTTACTAATATTTCACATATTGTGTAGTCCGATATAGTCATTAACATTTATTAAATGCTGTCTAAAAAAGCCATAACTATCATTCTATTCGTTAGTTTTCAGAACAAGAAGATACATAAACATAAAAAAAAATTAGCTTGCTGTCGGACCACAAGAGGTGAACCAAGTGTACACTAAATTACTGAGGTGTGGACGTGTGAAACGTAATTTTGTTTTTATGACAAATAAAAGAATCTGAAAGTGAAAAAGGACCCAGTTCACTTTACATTCACACTGTCCCTGTCCCTGAAAGAGGATTCAGATCCTTTTTTGGTCCACTAACCCTAATCTAGTTCAGTTCAGTGTTTGATGGTTGACCCTAAACCCCACAAAATTAGATCCCATTCACTTATATCATCTCACTGTAACCAAGCTTTTTATTTGTAAAGAACATTATTTTGTTAAACAACAATGTTACAAACACTAAAAAGTTGTAAGAAACATACAAATTAAATAAACTGCTTTAATAAAACTGCATAGTCTGCACTGTATGAATGACATTATGTATGAATGATTGAATCTTATTAGGGCTGTAAAATGTCAAATCAATTTAAACTATATTTAAATATATTTAAAAACTGAAATTGATAAAACCAACATACATGTTTCACACTCTTTCTGAGAGAACAAAGCATCTCTACAACCTGAAAGAGAACAGCAGTGGTGCAGTCTGTGCACGCGGCTTCAGGTGTGTGTGTTCAGAAAACCGTACATCAAAAAGTTTCCACCTTCAAGGCACACATCTGCATCTCAGTTCATAAGAGGTTGGAATGACAGTAGACAAGTGTATGTCATGACCAAATAATTTGTAGAGCAAATGGAAAAATCAAGTGAGCCCATAGCAATTGGACACATTCACGATTCACGATTTTAGTGTTTTTAACCTCACTGTTAGCTGAAACCCTCTTAAGGCTAAAGTATACTTCAGTTTTATGCGTATGCTTAATGCAAATTTCGTCACCAAAATAGTATGTGCGTACTGTAAATGCACCATCCGATACTTTGTTACCATACTTTGTACGTGCAAGTTGCACATGCGCATTGACTTGGCTTTGCACTAATCAGTTATTCCACAAGTTGGCAACACGGGCCTGGGCTGTTGTTTCTCCGTAGAAAACAAAAAAACAGAACAACAACAACAAAATAGTAGAGATTGCAACAACAAAAGATGCCTGCATTGATGAATGCTTCTGTGAGGGGGGTTATGAGAGAGCCACAACTTTATTTTAAAGGGGTCATATGATGCTTTTTTAAAGATCATTATTTTGTGTATTTGGTGTAACAGAATATGTTGACATGCTTTAATGTTCAAAAAACACATTGTTTCTCAAATACTGTACATTATTTTTTGAGACTTTAGTCTTTGCAACTTCAGGGATCTTATCTAAGCACAATCAGCTTGTAACACTCCAAAGAGAAAGGAAAACTTGAAATCGCATCATATGACCCATTTAAAAGAGTACAAAGACATTTTTATCACTCATAACTTCTGGAGAAAAATAGAGCTGATGCTGGATTAAGATGAAGCTTTCTAGAGTGCATGTGTCGAACACCTTCATTGGTGCACACTATTAAAAGAAGTATACTTTGAAAGGCTGCGCGTTCGACTGTGCGCATACATTAGCGTACGCTTAAAAAACGGAGTATACTTTGGGCTTTAGTCTTTGTTGTTTCTGTTGCACGACTCTTTCTAAACTATTTGGCAGATTTCTCACTTTTGTGTGGAGAAAGGTCAGGGAGAGTTGCTGTGAGGGGAGGATAAATGGGGGCGGGTAATATTGGGGTTGGGAAGAACTGGTGTGGGGGTGGGAGGATTCGAGCAGGGGTGTATGAATAGTGGCGTGAGGTTGGAGCTGGGGTTCTCAGTGTGCCAAATTGTTCCGTAAATGTGAGGATTGAAGTCGATATTCCCTCAAAATCCTCCTCAAAATCTCCGAAAATGCTAAAATAAAACACACAGACAGTCACTTGTGTATAATCACATTCATTTGAAACAAGTCTCAAACATGCCTTAACTATTTTAGCACAGATCAACTGTAAATGAGCCAAATTTCTCTGTTTATCACATTTGCAAAAATAAACTGTAAAAGTAAAAAAATGAATGATTTCTTGATGGAAACCCAAAGTCATGTACAAATAAGAGTGAAAGACATTTTTAATTACATGCCTTTCTTTGAAATAACTAGCAGTGGTCGAATTTGTGGTGCATTTTCTACTGAAAGCATCAGTTACATCAAAATAGGCAGAATTAAACACAACGTACAGTGTAAAAACTAAACTTAAGACTAATTAAAGACTCTTACGTTACATTCCTTTCTTCATGAAGATATAGCCATACAATTATATACATGTTCAGTGAATTTAAAATGAAAACAAGAGTATTTATTTGAAATTATTAGTACTTACAGTGTCTCTAGTTTATAAAGTGGAGAATTCTCTAGAGCAATGAGCAGTTCACGTCCTGAATGTCCTAGATTATTTCCAGTCAGATTCAGTTCTCTCAGGTGTGAGGGGTTTGATATCAGAGCTGAAGTCAGAGCAGCACAACCTTCATATGTGATTCCACACCAGCTCAACCTATAGAGAACAATGACACACTGTTGTTATGGATAGGGAAGTGCGGTACTGCTGCTGGTAGCTGGCACTGGAAATACGAATCAACTAGTCAGTTAATACTGTATCCTATTTGTCATGACCGACCTTACTATGTCCTCCCGAATGAAAGGAGGACATAGTAAGGTTGGTAAGGTTGCAACAAAAATATTTATTAACATAAAGGAAGGAAAAATAAAACAAGGAAACAACGAAAAACAACTACAATTTCTGCCTGACACATGATGTTATAGTGTCAGACAGAACAAGTCTCACAACTAGTGATGTTACGTTCTGTGCCGAGGCTTCGGAGCGTGTGTCGAGAAATCCCGGTAGCTTTAAGTGAAGCGCGTAGGAGGCTTGTATCGCTTTAGAGTGATGACGTCCGAAGCCTCGCTTGGCCAGACTGGTTCAGGAAGCGGTTCAAATCTTGTAAATTCACAGTACTCTGCCCTGTTAAACCCAGCCACTTTCCAGTTTTATACTAATAATATTGCCCCTCCTGCCTATTATGAGCAAAAAAACACAACCACGCCAACACAGCCTAAACTTTTATAGAGGGAAGAACAGGTGGACATCGTTCTCTTGATGAGCCTCCTAGCCACACCCACTGGCCGGCCATAGCAGGAAGGGTAGAAGACCCATCACACACGCCCCCAAAAAGAAGAGACCACAAAATCGTTAACAACAATCTCTACAAAATCCACTGCTGATGTACCGGAGAGAAAACGGATTTCACAGTAAATTATCTAATTTTCAGCAGTAAGAAAAAAAGAATGTTGTAGAACATCACAATTATATATGATATGAGAACAGTAGGGCCTGTAGATAGGGAGTACGTGTTATTTAATAAAAAGATATAATTATATTTTCAGAATGCCATAATTTTTTCTCAAACATAGTCAGTGGGGTAAAGCACCCCAGGGGGCACTGAGCAATTACTGTAGTTATTCTGTTCTGAACATCAAATCCTTTGTTTTTCCATCAAATGCATTCTAACTAGTTGGTTGAATAAAAATATTTGGACTTTATATTTAAAAATTACCTCAAATTAACATCAGGTAGCTTGTTAGCTAGCCAGTTAGCATCAGCTAACAATTTTTCAAATAGGCTATAATAATTTTGAAATTCATAATTATTGATTATATTCTTTTTCATTTTAAGCTAAAACTGCCTGTACTGTGATTTTGCTGTAAATGAATAAAGTAAATTGATTTGTCAGACTGGGGGAATTTTACAAAACGCCCCCTTGGTACAAATATATATATATATATTTTTTTTTTATAAATCTAACAACATGAAAACTCTAGACATTTTGCATACGTGGTTTATAGTTTATGTAATTGTCACTAAAACTATGATAACTATTCTGGACACATTTAACTTTTGTTTCACAGAGAAAAATTACACAGTTCTTAAGGGGGGCGTTTTCCCCCACTCTA